AATCAGGAAATGTTCAGGTCATAAGATAAATGAACAAGAGCGGCTCTAATATAAAGAAGCCAACCACCGTCACGTTATTCAACGCGGTCTTGTTGGCACAAGTTGAGATTACTTACCGCAAGCACCGAGTCGAAAAATTGAGTGAACGCAGGATTCTGTGATGCATAAAACATCTAAGTAAAACTCAAAGGCTTCGGGTATTAGTTGGGCCGTCTATTAAACGAGTGGTCTTGCACTGAGGGAAACTTTACAGAGGGTATTCCTGAGATGCATGTTACGCCCATTGCTATTTATAGGAAAAGGAGAGTTTGTGGTGGAAAATCAAGCTGTAGAGAACAAGTTAGTGATGGAAAGCAAAATTGCCGTGGTCTAAAATTTGGGAAAATAATGCCCCTAACTGAAGAAGCAGTATTGTATTGAGGCATGTATGAGTGGCATCCATGGCGATGACTGCTATTTCGCAGCTATGTAGAGTCAAATCGATGAGAGTACAGCACTCTTACTGGCTGATAATGCAACAATAGCAGTATTAAATGCGAAAGATCTTGCGGAGAAAACCTCTTATATATACGAATAAAACTTAACAGGAGTGATGCTACATAGCGCGAAAGACCGTGACAGTATATTTCTGCTGTCTGATAAAATAACAATGCATGACGGTAAGTGCCGGTAACTTCTGGTCAAAAATACAGTTTTACTGAAATTCAACCTAAAAACTGGTGGATGAGACTAAGAAATCAAATTGAAAATAAAGCATTTCACTTGTTTTTGAAATCGTGCTGCATGTGTTTATTGATGCTAGGTTGAGGAACAGACTCTGAAACTGTCTTTATGACTGTACCCTCTTTGCTTACACACTGTGAGCATGTTGGTTGGCCTTCGGACCACGTTTTTGATCTTTCACTCAAGGTCAATTCTTCTGACACCCTGAATGTTAGACTAGCTTTCGAAAAGCCTGCTATTGGGTTTCTGGCGTCCATGTTTGGCGTTGGGTGACGCACAATTGTGGCGAGCCTCTTTACTCTGCTGTCGTACATGACCCGTTGCATTATGGGCTTCTCTGTACCTCTTCACTTCGGCAGTCGGGATCGCTGAACACTCGTACGGCATGCCGCTAACACTCTTTTGGGGTATTAATGTGAACTTGCGTTCCTTCCCTGTGAAATTCCCAGGGATTGTCGACTTCAGTACTACAACCTAGGAGATGTGCCACGGAAACCTCTGTAAGCTGAAACTGAGAAATATGCAATCAGATTCTGTAGGCTCCAGGTCTGCCGAACCTGATTAGACGCCAGACCTTGTTTCATATCGGCATGTTGTCTTGTCTTTGACTTACATTTCGATTGATTCAGAGGTTTTTTTGGCTACGTTGTTCTTTTTCTATTTAGCCTAGTTTGGTGACCGTTGGTGCCTTCCTTTTCCCTGAAATATATGAGATCTGGCTTGTGGACTTTGTATAGGTTCTTTTCAGCATGTTTTCGCGGTGGAATTTTATTTCTTTTGACATGAACGGCTATCACTTCTATGAGGAGATCTAGACTTCGTTGTCATCTTAGAACTCTGACTATGGGTCCCAGAAATCAACCAGAACGTGTCTGCACCTCATTTTTTAGCTTCTTTTCGCTCAATTTTTGCAGCACACAGCAATCTTCGGGGTTGATTGTTGGTGGTTCATCGCGGGCAGTTGGGAGTGAATTAAGTGTTTTCGGTAGGCCTGGCCACAGGAAACAAAAAAACAGTTTACAGGAGTGAAATAGGTCATTATTTTTAGAGAATATACTGTTTTTTTCATGTCCGGGTGTTCAGTCCTGGCATAGTGATTAGAAGCACTGGTTTCTTGCCGAAGCGTCTTTGGTTCGAATCCCACCCCACTGTATGTACTTTGTCATGCTTATAAGAATCGTAGACCTCAATATTTCCCATACCATCAAGATCTCTCTAAGAGCACATCAGTTTATCAATCTACACCTCCATCACACAGGTACTGAGATTACAAGGCAAAGATAAAAGTTCTTTTTCAAACAGACTTCAGTGCAAAATGTCACTTCGAATCAATGAGCGATATAGTCTTTGAAGATCGTTCGTCACTATGACTCTGTTTTCTGCTCATTTGCAACCTCTTCACTGTCGAAAGCTAGTAAAACACGCCGGATGCCAGAAGAATGGACCCTGGGTGAACGGTGCGCAGCAACTCGCGTGGGTTAATCAACATGCTCACAGTACGTAAGCAACGACGGTACAGTCTATGCCTCAACCTACCGTCAATTAAAGAGGGCATGAGCGAACAGTTCGTGTTGTGGTCCGGGGAACTCTTGAAGCCGCTGATGGAACCCTCAATTATAGGTTCTCACACTGTTCCTTGACACCACAATTTGCCAGATGACATTCAAGGACCCGGCAAGGTAGGCGAAATCTCATAAGACTTCTGTTCTCGGATTTTGGTTAAAAACAACGTAGAAGATGTGCCACGGAGACCTCTGTAAGTAGTGTTGGGGAATAAACAGCAAGTAGATTGCATCTTGTCTCGTAGTGCAGACTATAAGCATCCAGTGTGGTGTTTTTCCCGCTGGATTACTATCCAGTCGATCGGATGAAAGTTGGGACATTGGTTAAAAACCAAAAAACATTAGAACGGGAGAGAAATGAGTCTGCGAATAGCAGACAACCAGATCATAAAAGTGAAGCACTGACTTTTGCAGACTCGTCTGTTGAAATTATAGGTAAGCCAACGGATGATTATTTTCCTAAAATGTCTGCAGATTTGCAACAGGACAGTGAACTGCATGCGTCATGCAAAATATTCAGCAATAGCTATTAGACGCAAGCACTAGCAGACAATATCCAAAGATCTATGGAACCAAATAATGTGATAATTATGCAGACAAATGTGCAGAACTTATTCAACAAATTAGACGAAATAAAACTGACCGTGACCCATTTCCAAATCAACTTGAGAGCTTTGACTGAATCATTGATAAATGTGCAGCTGGAAGACCCAAAAGTCGAGTTAGATGGCTTCCAGCTTATCCGCATTAACCAAAATGAACGAAGAGATGTAAGACTCGCGATATTTATTTGACACGGAATCGACTACGTTAGGGAAGATCCTTCCCGAAAAGGAAAGATTGGTTATGAAAAGCTCACTTGTTACTTGGGAGTAGCAAACCAACCAGACCTCCAGATTTCCCTGGTCTACAGACCGCCGAGATGGCAGAACAATGCAGACGATATCCTCGTCACCGGACTAAAAGTAGTTTGTCATAACCAACACGTAATGATTTCAACTGTCCAGACACTATGGGGAAATTGATGTCGGTAAGATGTGGTCTGGTAGCCACGTCGAGGAAAATAATTTAACCGTTTCTCCTACTTACATGCTTTTGAATAGACGTGATTTCGTCGTTAGGTTTTACGGTCAGGGTTCAAGGTTAGGTTTTAGTGTTTAGGACTAGGGTCTAGAGTTAAGATTAAGGTTTCGGGCTTTGATTATGGAATAGGGTTGGGTTTTAGGGTCAGGGATTGGGATTTACGACATGGGTTTAGGGTTAGGGTTAGATATTACGGTTTACGACTAGGGTTTCGAGTTATGTTTTAGTGTTCGGGATTAGGGTTAAGGGTTAGGTTTTAGGGTTCCGGGTAAGGTTCTAGGGTTTAAGATTAGGATTTAGGGCTAGAATTAGGTTAAGGTTGGGGTTCAGGACTAGGACGTAGGGCTATGGTTAGGGCTAAGGTTAGGGTTTGTGATGAGGGTCTAGAGCTGAGGTTAGGGTTGGGGATTAGGGTTCACGGTTAGGATCAGGGTTAGGGAATAGGGTTAGGGTTTGGGGTTAGGGTTAGGTTTTAGGGCTTATGATTAGGCTTTCGGGTTGGGTTTTAGGGTTTAGAATTAGGGCTTGGGGTTTAGGATTACGTTTTAAGTTTCGGCTTAGGGTTGGGGTTTACGTTTACGAATAGGGTATAGGGTTTAGGATTAGGATTTAGGGTTAGGGTTGGGGTTTAAGGTTAAGGTCAGGGTTTAGAATTGGGATTTAGGGTAGGGGTTTAGATTTAAGGTTGGGTTTAGGGTAAGTGTTTATGAGTTATTGTTTAGGTTTGTGACCAAGGGTTAGGGTTTAGGGTTGACGTTTATGGTTAAGGTTCGGGTTTATTCCAGTCGCTGAGTGTAACCAATAGCTCAGAATGCGTTACAGCCCGCTTTCGTTGACATTATGAAATATGTTAATCACTTTTACACAGTAAGTACTCCTTCTTCGGTGCTCTCTTGTCCCTCATTTTCTTCACTTGCGATTCCCATCACCTACTTCGTTAACCCGCGCATCTACGCCTGTTTAGGCTGCCTTGCCCTTGCCCTTATGGTTAGCAGCCGGACAACCTTTTTACTTGACAGCTTACCTACCGCCGTTCTCTCTGTGCGTTTACAGGGCGGTGCTTCGATGGCTCTGATAGACGGTCAGCAGACAGCGTAGTAGGACTATCTTGAGTTTCGGCATGCCTCTATTTTAGCCTACACATGCACTACCTTCTGGTCACGCGTCCATTTTGCTTTTTGCCTTCGCACTGTCTTGCAGGATGACACGCCCCTACCGTCCGTTGCCTGTTGGCGTCCATAGAACACATAGGAGAGATAAGGGGTCATTCATGGAAGAGGAAAAAGTTTACTATTGAAATATTAGGAGATGGTAGACATGATTGACGTTTGTATTCCCGTCACTTGTATCTGATTCCTAGGTGTGTACGGCGTCCGTTTCGTATTTGTTCCACGGCAGCCTACGGTGCTACAGAGGTCAGCTAAATTGCCAGCTGAAGGCTATCCTATGCGCCGTGGCCGATCCGGAGCACGGGACGGACCGCCTTCCCCTGATCTTCTTGGGCATCCGCTCCGCTCTCAAGCCGGACGCTGACTATTCCGCAGTTTAAATGGTGTTCAGCGCCACCGTCCGACTGTCCGGTGAGATGATTTCGCCAGCCCCGCGAGGTGCGGTTGAGGATCCCACCAACCTCCTGCACCGCCTCCGGCAGTTTATGCGGGCACTTTCTCCGGTCCCGCCGGGGTCCTCCGCCTCTCCGTCTTATCTCGAAGACTTGGCAACGTGCTCTCACGTCTACCTTCGATGTGACCGAGTTCGCCGGCCTCTGGCACCGCCCTATGACGGCCCATTCGGGGTGCTCTCGCGAGGGACAAGGACGTTCCGCACTCAACACGACAATCGTGAGGAGGTCGTGAGTGGGACCGCCTCAAAGCTGCCGTCCCGGACATTCCTCTGGATGAGCTCTGTGGTCCCCTACCTTCTGCTTTCCCACCTCCTGGTTTTAATCAACCTTGCCGTATTTCCCCTCTCCCCCCTGTCCGCTACCTCCAACTGCCACGTCTAACTCCAACAATTTCGCCACAGGACGTATCCTCTCTTCTACGAACCCTGTA